TTAACGGTGTTGTCTTAGATTTCTAGCACATCTACCCTTACAAAAACAGTGATGACATTCCCTAACGTAAAGAGCGAGAATTTTCAGATACCAAATTACTTAAACCCTAGTACTGTGAATTTTCCCACTCAAAGCCATCCTCCTGAGTTGGAACCCGTTAGTCTTCTCCGTTTTTAGGAAGGGCTCCCAATCTAGCTAACTCCTGCTTTCATTGCCTAGGAACTCGATAGGACTTTGAGCTAAGTGCAAATGTTATGAAGGGTGACTTGAAAATCCTGTCTCCGAATGCCCAGTTGTGGATGAATGGTGTGGACAGTTAGTACTTAACAGAACTGGGTGTTTCCCTCAGGATCTCTGAGGGTGTCTCTGAGTTTGGGGATACTTGGCACTTGTGTTGGTTATTTCTACTTTAGTGGTATAGTATCTTTGGGAACTACTGATAGTTCTTATCTTGATTCTGACTGACTTGGAACTAATGCTCATTTCTCCTTAATAAAGATATTATTCGTTGATTATTCTACATAATCATCAATCCTGTGAGGTGCCGGTACTCTGCATGATTAGACCATATCCATAATATTGTAGTGAACAGGAATATGATGGGGTTAATTAACTATTCCATGATTTCTGCTGCCCCAAGGGAAGTACAAACGTGGGCCCATCCTAAGAAAATATTGGGATCTGCTTCAATTAATGATGGAAAATTGCAAGAACCCAAAACAAAACAAACAAAAAAACTTCTGTTCATCATTTGGGCCAGAGAAAGCAGGTGTTTGTGTCCTGTGGATCTAGGGAAATTTATTCACTCCTTTTTTCCCTTTCTTTTTGTGTTTCTGAGATCAATCCTTTTATACCAACTGAAAAGCTTTTAAATCTATGTCTACGGAAGTGGAGACTTTATTTCCTCTCCCTCCCTTTTCCTTCCTGTCTTCTTTCACTTCTTTTTTTCTAATTTTCTCCCCCTTTTGCCTCAAAGACTTCTGTCTGCCCAGTCTTCTTAGGAAGAACAGGAGATTCCTCCTCCTCCCTCTCACCTGATCAGAGAGATAAGATGAAAAGATTTGCTGTCACGCAGGATCACAATGTGGAGGTGATTTATTCGCCTTTGCAAAGTGAGATGCTCTCTATTCCCGGGGCTTGTGGAGGGCTTCGGTAGGCTGCCTGTTTTTGATTGTGTAATCAGGAAGAAGAGAACAGATGAGGGGCTAATGCTTTTATTCCATTTCGCATTAAATAAGTGTCTATCAGACTTAGGTCTTGAATGTTGCATAATGCTTATCGATGCTATTTTCTCAAGAGAAGAAATTGCTACATCCAGATCTTGTCTGAGAATTCCGATAATAGGTCAGAAATTCTAGCACTCTTCCTCAGTAGCTTTCTGTCCGTGGAGCGAGATGTAGGTCAGCGATCACACAGTGTCGCCTTCAGGAAAGAAGTACTTTAATAGAGGGTGCTGGGTGACAGGATGGACAGGGTGAGAGGTGAGGGTGTTAGACTTTCTAGAAGCTTCTTTCTAATAGGTACGTCCACAGCTTCTCTCAGTCATGTATAAAGTACCACCAGATGAGCTTAGTGGTGTGAAGGCTTTACACACAGGAGCCATTTATTCGTGTATGATATCATGATATCATTTGTTGTTATTGATAACGAGAACCTTCCTGTGTGACTGTTACTTTTGCACTCGAAGTCTCTGGTTGGCCTTGGTGGCGTCCTGAATACATTTGATCTCCCTACGCTGTGCAAGGCTTGCCGAGGTCTGGTCCCAGTTGTGCTTTCTGTCGGGGAGACTCGCCAACCAAATCAGAACTCTGTATATCTGGAGTAGGCGTGCTCGCTTACGCTGGGCGGTGGCGGCACATGTCTGTTTCCACTGTCCCGTCTTCTCTGCAGAAATGCCTTTTCTGCTCATCCTTGGCACTGAGCTCAGCTCTGGCTTCCCTAGAAACCCATTTGTCCTCCCTGTAGGAGTTCATTTTTGCCACCTCTTTACCACAGCCCTTAATTCGAACCCCTGTTGGCCAGCCTGATACAACTGACTCTTAGTCCCCCCACCCCGTTCCCCCAAAAAGAGCCAACTTAAACTATGTTATCAGGCTGTACTGCAAGTACTTTCGCTGCTAAGCCATCTCATTGGTTCCCTTATCCTTTTCGGCAGACTGCACTTTGGCCTTATTTATTCTTTTGTAACCATCAGGGAGTTAACACTACTTGGGTTGTAGACATATGTAATGTGTTGCGCACCAGGAAACTTCCAGAAGACTAGCCACTGCTGCTGTGTAGAGCTGTGATATGGGCAGGTTTAAGTGGGCTTGGTTGCTGTCTAGTAGTGAAAGACAAAAGTGGGGGCTCTTTCACTATGGGAAGTGGCTGGGCCTCTGCGGAGAACTGTAAACTGCTGGTAAGACCAGAGTCATTTATGGCCCCCCAGATTTTCTGAATGGGAAGGACCACCAGTGCTGTGTCTCCCAGTGCTCAGTTCTCTTTCACAGTCTGGTACGGAGAGAAGATTAGAATTTAAAAAAAGAAGGGAGGCTGCACTTTCTATTCACTCACTAGCAGGAACACTCAGTGTTTCTGCTGGTGTCTTTTTATCCATATTTCCCTTCATTTATTCGACAGTTGTTATTAAGAATCTGTGGATGGCCGGACTGATGTAATTTTCAGTATTTTCAGACAGTTTATTGCTGTGAGCAGCTGCTTATAAAGGTTAAACGACACCCTTTGATGTAAGGGCACCTCCAGCCAATGGGAGGCTTTTCTCTGTCCTACAGGCCTCGGAGTCTAGGCCCTGAGCTAAGCCAGGCTTTTCTCTGTCCTACAGGCCTCGAGGTACAGGCCCTGAAACAATTTTGGCCCAACATCTACCTTTATCTCAACGACAGAGGAGGCCGAAACTGCAAATTTGGGGTTAGCCAAAAAAATTGTTCAATGGTATAGTAGTATTTCAATATATAGATATTTCTTAATTTATTTAACTAACCTTTTGTAGTATCTTTAGATTTTTCCAGTTCTGATATAATATATAACCCAAAGAATATTATGTGCCATGGAGAATCTAGGCTGACCACCAATGACTTCCACCTTGCATTATTCCCTTCCTATAAACATGTCGGAATAACATTCCCATAATCATTACCTGCAATGGGATTTTTACAGGTGTGGTTAAGGTAGCTAATTAGTTGGCTCTGAGTTACTGAAAAGGGAGCTACTCTGGGTGACCTAACAACGGGACCACACAAACCCTTTAAAAGCAATGAGGAGAGGAAGTCAATGTCAGAGTATACAAGAGCCAGGGCAGGAGGAATGTTCTCTGTTGTGACAAGGATATGGCAGACATCTCTGAGTGTAGAGAGTGATTCCTGGCAGCAGCCACCAAGTGCCAGGGCTTCAGCAAGGAATTAAGCCGTGAATGACCTCAGTGAGACTTGGGGGTTGTTCCTTCTCAGAGCCTCTCAATAAGAGACTGGCATCCTGCTGTCTGCTGTGAGACCCTAAAGCCCTGGTTGAGTTCCCTGGACGTCTGACCCACAGACTAGATAGAGATGATGAATGGTCGCTGGACTGCGACTGCTGGTTTGGAGAGCTCCTGTGAGAGGACCTTGTAGACTTGTAAAGGTTCAGCTCCCAGCACCCACGTGCTCACAACTGCCTGTAACTCCAATTCCAGACAGAATTATAGATACAGATTTTCTAGATTAAGAAATTTTAGACATTTTGAAGTTTTTCCTCTTGTATTGCTAATTTGCCTTCCATAAGCTTTGTACCAAGTTATGTACCTCCTAACACCTTACGTATAGTTCTCTGGAAAACACTAAACGCTATACTTCTCATAGGCAAAACGAAAAATCTAAAGAAGACCAATATTATTCTTATCACTCGTAGGATTCTTTAGGGAAAGGCCTATTACTTAGTCTAACTGTTGACATTGAGGAAATATTCTCTAACTCATAGGACAGCATTGTTGAGCTTAACATGTTCAAGGGGGATATGAACACTGAGCTTATTAAAAGCATCAGCATTTTCAGTAAATATCAGTTACTGCCACGACTCCATGAACAGCCAGCATCAGCCATTATCTGTGGAAGGCTGGATAGCATTCCTTTATTAACCGGGCAGTACTGATGTTTATACTTTTCTTGGGGAAAGGTCTGATTTGTCTGGTTTACATCCCATATTTGATTGTTTTAGGAATTTGTTGTATATTGCTATGGAAATTTAACTTTTGTTGTTGAAGGAAATTATACTGTTGATGCAAGAAGAAAGTTGTATTTCTTCCTAAATAAAGATGTTGATCAAAATAACATTGTCTCTATGATTGTGTGTACGGAATTAGTGTTTATTATCTGAAGTGCTTCACACAAGTATTTCAGATTGTGAGCCTTTTATTTGGAATATTGAACATCCTTAATCCATAAATCCACTGGATGGTGGTGGTACACTCCTTTAACCCAGCACTCAGAAGGCAGAGGCTGGTGGATCTCTGTGAGTCTGAGAGCAGCCTGGTCTATAGAGTGAGTTCCAGGACAGTCAAGGCTACACAGAGAAACCCTGTCTCAAAAAATAAATAAATAAATAACAAAATACAATTTGGAGATTAGAGATTTTCAATCTATTTTTTATTGTGTCAGTTAGGGTGAACAAAGAAAAAATTCAACTTATCATTTCTGTAGTTCTTGCTTATTTTTTTGACAAAATAAGATGGGAGGGAGATGTTTTCTAAATGCTAATATCAAACTAATAAGAGCAAAATATTTACATGAAAGATAGTCTACAGATTTTTAAGAAAATATGCAAGTATTCCCCACATAAATGAACATGTGCTAGGGATTGAGAGAACTAAGTCGCTTGGTCAAATCCTGTTCACTTAGAAAAGCTGGGCTTTCCCTAGCAGTCATGCAAAGATGCTACGGGTGTTCACAGCATCCATAATGGTCTGTTCTTCTACAGAAACCTGATATTGTGTGTGTGTGTGTGTGTGTGTGCGCATGTGTGTTAAAAGTTATGCTAATGCCTCCTGTGCTCTCACTGGGTTTCACTGAGTGTGCAGCAACTCTACGAAGTCAGTTCTGCAGTTTCTCCCCTTTTCCTGAAGTTTTTACGTTAGGTGACTCAGAACCACTAAGTACTAAATGGCAGTCATTCCTCACCTTGTAGCTAAGCCCATGTCATTGTACTATGGGAAGTCACTTTTCCACACACAGACAGCAGAGGGCCTGAGAGGGTAAGAACCATGGTCACCCTACTTCCTATTTTAGTCGAGATGATTTTCTACATTATATTCTCTTATTAACGTATTTATTATGATGCATATTCTCAAGTAATACTGACCCATGTATAGTCAGGTACTGTACTAAATTGATATAAAATTACTGGATATTCTTAGCTTTGAGTGAGAATGGGGTTTAGAATTTTTTAATGGAATTATCAATCACTTGATTTGAGTATTTCAATCAAGCAGAAGAAGTCTGTCTCCCATGCGCTATTAAAAATTGAGCTCATGACTACCGTCTGGTTTTGCTTTTAGAGGAGCCAGAGGTTATAGTCTGTGACCTCATGTAGAAAATAGCCACCGATGAGCTATCCAGGATCGTTTTTAGTTCTTTAATTTTGGCAAGCGCACATTTTCAAAGCCGAAAAAGCACAGGGAGGCTCCAAACTCACAAAGCAGAGCTGGAGAGCTTTAATGGAGGACGGTTGAGGAGGTTAGCGTTCACCTGAAAGCTTTGGTTGCTGCCTTTTCAGAAACTTCTTCCCGTCCGATTCACTGTCGTTCAGGGTGTCGTTGTATTCTCTTGATGTCCCGTTGGCAGATTGCTAAAATGCTACCTTTCCCCTGTCATTTTCAAGAAAGAAGTAGAAGTATGCCACTTTCCCTCCTGTAACTTTGAAGAAACATGAACTTAACAGGTGATGTTTTGTACGGACACTTTGGAAAGTTTGTTTCTTCTCTCTGAGGCCCTTTGTTCTCTATGGAGAACTGGTAAAAGGATGAAGCATGCATGGATAAAATGGATCGTCTTAAAGGATTGCAGCTCCAAAAATACATTAGCAGGACTGGGCAGGTTTGACATAATGAGATTCCTATTTTAGCTTGACTTCTGGAACTCTGAGGAACTATAAATTGAGCCGCACAAGACCCTAGGAAGGAGGCGCCTCTTTTAATCGCTTACAGGCTCTGCTTTCAGACTTTGAAAGATACGTCAAGTTGTCAGTTTCCTAAAGAGTTAGCCTACTGATACTTACCAGCTTTAATACAAGAAATGATAGATAGAAAGCCCTGGTCCACATCGCACTGAAAGCCAAAACCAGTCACAGCAACTTGTACCAGGAGCTCAGAGAGGGGGCTGAGATGGCCGAGGCTCCTGTGGATGCGGCGACTCAGCCAGTAACTGGGAAGAAAAAGAAGAGTCTGTCCATCGAGGAAAAGATTGACATCATAAATGCAGTGGAGAGTGGCAAGAAAAAGGCCGAGATTGCAGCTGAATATGGAATAAAGAAAAATTCTTTGTCTTCCATTATGAAAAACAAAGACAAAGTTCTGGAAGCCTTTGAGTCTCTGAGATTTGATCCGAAGAGAAAAAGACTGAGGACGGCCTTTTATACGGATCTGGAAGAGGCATTGATGAGATGGTATCGGATTGCCCAGTGTCTCAATGTTCCCGTTAATGGGCCAATGTTACGCCTAAAAGCTAACGATTTTGCTCAGAAGCTGGGACACAATGACTTTAAGTGCAGCAATGGTTGGTTGGATCGTTTCAAGTCCAGGTACGGCTTAGTATTCCGAGCACAGCCCGTAGAAGCCACAGGTATATCTACAGACCCTGCCACTGTCTGGTACCAAAACGTGCTGCCTTATTACTTAAATGATTATCATCCTAAGAATGTTTTCAGTGTAAAAGAGACCGGACTGCTTTATCGAATGCTACCTACAAACACATTTGCTTATAAAGGAGAGACTTGCTCAGTGGGAAAGCTGTGCAAAGACAGGGTAACGCTGGCAGTCGGAACAAACATGGACGGCTCAGAGAAGCTTCCTTTGCTCGTTATTGGGAAAAACCGAACTCCACGTTGTTTCAAAGGCATAAAGTCCCTGCCTGTGTATTATGAAGCGAACAGAACGGCGTGGATGACTGCAGCCATATTCGAACAGTGGATGCATCAGCTCGACGAGAAATTTCAAGCCCAGCAACGAAGAGTGGTGATTTTTGTTGATTCTTGCCCCGCACATCCAGAGGTGAAAAACCTAAAGTCCATTGAGTTAGCAATCTTCCCATCGTGCCTGTCTTCCGGGCTTGTCGCTATGAAACAAGGTGTTATTAAAAGCCTGAAAATCAAATATCGGCACTATCTTATCAAGAAATTTTTAAGTTCTGTTGAAAGTAGCAAAGAATTTACATTTTCTCTACTAGATGCGGTTGATACGTTGCATCTGTGCTGGAGAGCCATAACCCCAGAGACCATTGTGAAAAGCTATGAAGAGGCAGGATTCAGGTCTCCAGCGCAGGAAACCGACGCTCCCAGTGCAGAGAGTGAAGCTGCCACTCTTGACCTGGCTGCCCCTGCTCTGGGGGCAGGGATGGAGCTTCCTGAAGGTTTGTCCATAGAGGAGTATGCTGCCCTGGACGAGGATCTGGAGACCTGCGAAGCCACCCCAAATGATGATGAGGAGTGTACCAAAGAAAGTAAACAAGATGAAACTGGTTTTTATGCTTCTGATGAAGAGGAGGATGACAGCGGAGCTCTAGAAGCGGACCCGCCCTTACCATCCAAGAACGACGCAATCGAAGCTATAGGAACCCTTAAAAAGTTCCTTAGAAGTCACGATATGAACGATGAACTTCACGATTCTTTAGCAGACCTTGAAAACTTTATTAATGCTCTGTCACCTAAATAGTCGTGTATTATACATCTGCGGAGTAGGAACTTTGCCTGCTGTATCTTATTACATAAGGAATGTAAAAGGAAAGTATCGATTAAATAAGGAAAGAGAGAACCTAATAATCCTTTCTAATTGCGACGCCTTTGATCTGAATAGCAAGGCTCCCTGGTAAATAATGACTAAGTAAAACTGCAAAGTTCTGCTGAGCAGGTTTGGGGAGAGTAAACTGCACTCAGAGGCTTTGTACTTCACAGGGACACAGGTCTGGGTGAAAGAACTCTTCAGCCGGCCGACTCACATGCATGAAATTGCTGGTTTCCATTTTCTTTGTTTTTAAGTTCAGATCATGTTCTAGAATATTTTACGTTATCTATGTAGTCTAAGAAACAAAAATAACTTGTTTTTATTGTAACCTGCCTGTGCACCAAGACGATGCACCATGTATCTCTGCTGCTTTCAAGTTACTTGTCAGATTAAGTCAGATGAAAAGCCAGTGTTCTGCAGGGCTTCCTGTCTTCTGGGACCAGGAGATGCAGGTCCTTCTGGTATAATAGTGTGTGCTTGTTCAATGGGAAGACACATGAAGGAAACACTGATGAAACTCATGTATATATTTGGATGTGGTTAACTCTCGAGCCAATTGAAGATGCACACAGAGTTACCAAAAAGAAAATTATGCTGCCTGTTTTTTTTTAAAAAAAAATTTGCAACAGCTCGGCTTTTAATCTAATTTTGCTGAATTTTATTTTCAGCATATTGTGATATTAATTATCTTCCTTCAATTTTTTCTTCTCTAAAATTTTTTATTAAAGTTGTTAGAGAAAGCTTTATCTAAATATTACATTAAAATACTGCAGTAAATTACCCAACTACCATCTAAAAATAGCTTCTATGTGAGGTTTTAACATTATGTCAGTTTTTCTACAGTTCAGTTTTAAGTAGCATATTTATTTAACTTATTATGCCTATTTTAGCTCCCCTTGTAAAGTATTTCATAAAAATACAAAGCATAATGATTTTTTGTAAACTATTAATCTGCCAATTATACAATTAGAAATTACATGGTTAGAAGAAAATAATTGAACAAAGCATTTTATTTTCTATTGCTGATTTACTCTGCTCTGAGATTTAGTAATAGTTGAGTCTTAAAATGTATTAATATTTTAGAGGTTTCTTCTATTATTAAACATGGACTATTTAAATTAAAAAGCATTTTGTGATTTGATATGTAATTTTAATTTGGCTCAATCATGGACCTAAAAGAGTTCTTGACATCCCATTTGTCTCTCAAGAGAAAATTACTTATAGTTAGTCTGGTCTAAAAATAAATGTTTTATCTTAATTGTTCTTGCTTTATAAACTCTTGCTGTTTCAACATTGTTTTTTATTTCTTAGCAACCAAGAATAAATCTCATGATACATTTAGGACATTCTTCTCTGTGTGCTGTTTCTGAACTACTTAGGAAGGGTTTAGTTCAGGTTAAAACAGAAGGGTGTGTAATCAGCGCCTATGGGTTTCATGTTTCCTGCCTGGCCCCTTATTGCAAACCTTTTCACCGTATAGGAGGCAGATTAGCTGGAAGGGGGAAGCAAAGAGAGAAAGGAAATCAAAGTAAAGAGGTCCAGGCAAACACTTCCCAGGTTAAGAGGAATGCAGACCCAGAAAGACAAATATCATATGTACTCACTCATAAGTGGTTTTTAGACATAAAGCAAAGAAAAACCAACCTGGGACCCACAACCCCAGAGAACCTAGAATGACAAAGAGAATGGATCTAATCTACATGGGAGCATGGGGGTCAGGGGAGAGGATAGAAGGTGATGGGGGGAAGGAAGGGGAGTGGAGAAAAACGTATAGCACAATAAAAAAAAAAAAAACAAGAAAAGACAAAAAGAACAGAAAGGAGGGTGGGGTGGAGAGGGGAACCCTTCCACTGAACCAGTAGGGCTCCAGCTCCCTGAGACGAGGCAGAGTTGGGAAGTGGACATCGGCTTTCAGTTTCACAGGCAGTGGAGAACTAGACTCAGGCCTCTGCTGCACAGAGGGCTCCCTGAAGAAAACACGGCACAGAGCAGGTAAGTCAATGGGAGGCTGTGGCCAGTGGATAAAAGAAGAGCCTGGAGTCCCTCCCAAGTAAAGCAGGGAGTGTGGCGTGGTGATGGGTTGGTGAAGAACGTGCTAGGTAATGCTAGATAACGACATGGTCATCTTCCTGCCGTCACCTGATTGATGTTCAGACGGTCCCCTCCTTGGCTAGACAATGCTTCTGCGATGTGTTGGAAAGAACCAAAGGACTGGATCTCCACTTTGTAGGTGGAGACTGCTCAGACCTGAATAATCACACAGAAACTATATTAATTACAACACTGTTCAGCCAATAGCTTAGGTGTCTTTCTAGTTAGCTCTTAGATCTTGAATTAACCCATTTCTCTTCATCTATGTATTGGCATGAGGCTATGGCTTATCCGTCAGGATCTGGCATCTGTCTCCTTTGGCAGCTACTTGGCGTCTCCTTCCCTCTGCCTACTTTCTCTCTACATCTCTGTTTGGATTCCCTGCCTGGCTCTATTCTGCCCTGCACCCAAAGCAGCTTCTTTATGAACCAATGGTAATAAAACGTTCACAGCACACAGAGGGAAATCCCACATCCCCACTTCATCCTATGCTTACTTATTTTGTTCTTAGTTGTCAACTCTCAGAAGCTTTTTGAAAGCTGGGACAGTTGTAAAATCCTCTGATCTCCCCAGAGAATACTGAGTGCACGGCAGGCTCCTAGTGGGATCTTGTGTTTGTGAGATGTAAGAACCGAACGGGGAGGTCCAGACAGTCCTCCTAAACTGAAGAAAAGGGGAGGGCAGGGCATCTACTCCCTGACTTCCTCTTGGTAAGCCCTGAAACTTCTCAGTGAAGGTGCTGTCACTGCGGGAGGCTGTTGACTGACACCACACCTATGTTCCTCATTGCAGAAGTGATGACTCAGCACAGTGAGGGAACCATTTGTGAGCTGCCATGGGAGCAAACGAGAAACCCTTCCCCAAAGAGGATCTGGAAGTCTGCCTTCCAGGCCCCAGAGTGCTTTATGGGGTGTTGTTTACCCTAAACCATGCATCCATGAGTCTACCATGTTGATAAGCCCATAGAGGGAATACTGGGAGAAGTGTGAATCCTACAGAATCCGAATGGCTGTCAGAAAAAAGTATGGCCTGAACAAAAAGACGATTGCATAAGTGCAAAGATTAAGCTTGACTCCTACTAATGAAGGAGAGGCTTTGTGAGCAGGTAAAACGAGTTTTTTTAAGCCTGATTCTTCATTCCTGAACTGTGTGCACATCATGCAAGTCAGACCCCCCATACAGGTGAGGAACCTTTTATAACGTCTGTTTGAACTTGAGCTGTGCATTTTAGCTTTCAATCCAATTGGGTTGTTTTGTTGTTGTTGTTGTTATGTTTTATTATTATTCCAGATTTGACCACTGTTTTCCAGATCCAATTATTGTGTTGGAGAAATCACATTGACCCTTTAGAAGAACAGATTGATTTCCCCTCCTCCCAGTTGTGGGGGTAAGGAATCTCACAAGTAATGTAAGTTCAAACCTGATGATTGCAATAAAGGGGGGGGGGTGCCCGATAATTATAAAGGGTTTATCCTGTTCATGTTGCTAGGCACTGAATGATGAAAACAGAAGAAAAAAAAATCCCTCCGTCTTGACATTGGTAAGTTATGGATGCAGGCAGCATTCCATAATGACAGGGCACACACTGAGCGTGGCGTCTGTGTCTACAAAACCACAATGTGGACCTTTAACCCGGTCCTGAGATTAGGGAAGGAGTGAGTCATCCGGGTGTCTGATGCCAAAACCTAAGATTTGGACCCACAGGAGAAATTGGAGTTTAGTGGGCAAGGGAGAGATCACTGCAGGTCAGGCTCGGAGGGAGGCCGCCTGCCAAAAGCTGAGGAAGGAAAGGAAGCCGCAGAGGAAGAGTGACTTGCCGTAGAAGAGGCCTGCCCCGGGAGTGATTGGCTGGGTTAGAGTTCAGTAAAGAGACATTTTTTTCATATGGGGGGAAGAGGAAGGAAGAAAAGCTTTCCATCTGTGTTTTTGAAAGTTTTGACCATAAGCAGAATCGTGGGCCTCAGGACAGAGGCAAAATGTTAGAGACACAGGAGTCTCTGAGGAAAGCGGTGTATCCTCTGAGCCACACCACTGCCACCTTGAGGAGGTCCGTTGCGAAAGGATTGAAAGGATCGTTCTAGCTGGGCTTCTTCATGCTTTTCACTCAGTTAAGGAACTGACCCTCACCTGAGTATCCAGCTACTCCTACCACATACTGTGCGGAACCGCCTTCACCGTCTGTGGCCAGGGAAGGCTAGGAGAAGCTCCGTCTAGGCAGCTCTGCAGCTGTGGCCTTTTATTGGGGTTGAGGGTCCCCACACTCCTGCAAACAACCCTTTGCCTATGCTTGTGACTAAGCCCGATAGACTCATTGGTCCTCAAGAGTGAATTTTGACAGAATCATGCCTTGTTTTGTCACTGGGACCTTAGAAAGAGGGACAGACATTGTTGTTTCCCTTGGGAAAGGAAATTTAGCAACACCTCCTGACACACAGAACTACTCTTTCCCCTTGGAGGAGGAAGTAGTGGGAGGAAGGCATTGCAAGCAAAACGGATAAGCCTCTCCGCATTCTCCAGGAGAGCGGACAGAACAAAAGTTCTTGCTAGGCCTTTCTCCCTGAGGGAGCAGCCGAGGGGTTTTCGCAAACTGAGCGAAGACACGTATGTGCACATGCAGTGACGGTCACGGAAAGGGATGCTGTGTGAAGACCCAGAGACTGCGGGGACTGAGTGGTGCTGCCACGGCCCAGCACCCCTGTGGTGAGCAGCTGTGCATGCCTGGTCTTGGTCTTGGGTTAATGCTGGTCCCTCACAGCATCCCCAGGAGGACTTCCCTTGGCAGTGATAAACAGACACATTAATAGTATCTTAGCAACAGTCATTATTTACTGATCATGGCTGAAGTGTCATCTTCTTAGAAATGACTATTGGTCTGTAACCCTGCTCCACCCTCATTTAACTAACAAGATGCCTAACTTCTTCAACAACTTTATTCCACGTGCTGTCCCTAGTTATCAGATCGATATTTTAATTTTTATTTTCTGTGGGAACCTTCTTAAGCTTAGGCAGCATTTCTTCTTTCTGCAAGGAGTGTAGCAGACACTCCGCTGAGCAGTGTGCAAAACTCTCCGAGCCTGGAAAAGGTACCGCTCCTAATTAACTGTCCAGAGGACTGTCTCTTGGCACAAGAACCAGTTAAATGCTTCTGGTGGGCTTTGTAGGACCTGGGGGAGACGGTGCTTCTTTAATGAAGCAAACCCAAGAGCTAACGCTTCCCCAGACTTGGCAGCCCCACTCCTGTGAGGACTGCAGATGCCCCAAGCTCTCAAGAGCAATTCTGGAAACCTTGTCAAGTTCCACAGGCCCTGGAGTCATTAGGTAAGGTTAGCTTTTAGATGTTGTCTGCATTTATTTTGGAAATGCCTTTAATTTTTTGAGAGGGTTAACTTTGAGACCATTAAAAGGCAGAGGGATTTTTTTTTTGCTTTGTTCTGCTATGAAATAAGAAAAAAAAACCTTCAAAACTGGAGACACATGGAGACACACTTGGAATAGGGGTGTTCTAATCTCACCTGCTAAACTCAAGACGGGCAGGCGGGAAGTCCTGTCTTACACTATGGAGGATACAGGGAAAGCTTCAGGTTTTCCCCAAAAGAAAGATGTATAGAACGGTAAAATCAGAGAAGACTCAATGATTTTTTCTCTCTCAGTGCTGCGGATTGAATACAGACCCCATGGGTGTTAGGCAAACATGACAGAACAGAGTTCCAGCCCAGGCCCAGGGAGTCACCATTAAGACATTTTCTCATCAGGGCAGGGGTAAGAACGCTTGCCTAGTGTCCACAGAGCACCGAGTTCCATCCCCAGCACAATAAATAGATACATAAATAGAAAGAAAAATAATAAAGGGAAGAGAAAAATACTCATATTCTGGCCGCTCACAAACTTGTAAAAGTTACTCAGAACGTTCAAACATGTGAAAACATCAACGTAGCTGCCAGGCCTGAGCTACCATTCATTCCACCTCCCACCGTTTTTAAAGGCCCCAGTGTTACTAACAGAAGCTTGGAGAAAACAGAATAGACTTCCTTTTCCACACTGGTGTTTGAGCTAAGCCTTCTTCGGGGCATTTCTTTTTTCCTTTCTCCTTTGCCTGCTATTTTGATAATGTTATTTTTAATGGCTTGCTAGTATATTTTTACGAGGACTCCTTTTGCCAAA